GGCGCTGAGGGCGGCAGGGGAGGGCGGCAGGGCCGGGTAGCTCCGCTTGCTCTGGCGGTGGCAGCGGCGGCCCCGACCCGGCATGTGGCGGCGCCCGGCCGGGCTGTTGCTCGTCTTCGCGGCCTCTACGGCTGCGCTGTGGCTGCTGTCGGTGCGGTTGAGCGCGGGGCAGACGCGCAGGTGGGTGTGCGGGGCCGGGGCTRCGGCTGCCCCTGTGTCCCTCGCTTCTGCCGCGGCTGCCCGTGTGTCTCTCCCCCCGCAGGGCKCTGCGGTTCCCGGCGGACCTGGAGGAGCTGCGGGATCTGGCCGAGGCGTTGCGGGACTACGAGCGGCAGCACCGGGGCGCGGCGCTGGCCCTGTTCTGCGGCGCGTACCTGTACAAGCAGAGCTTCGCCATCCCCGGCTCCAGCCTCCTGGTACGGGCGGGGGTGGCGCGGCTGAGGGCCGGGGAGACACGGCTGGAGCAGGGAGAGGGCCCGCTCCTGGGCAGGAATAACCTCCAGCACCAGCACGGGTCGGCTCTGCTGGGAAGGGTCTGGGAGTGTTGGTGGATAATGTGCCCTGAGGGTCCGGGGGGTAAGTGGGAATCCTGGAGTGCACTGGGAARGTCAGGGAGTGATCCTGCCCCTCTGCTCGGCCCTGGTGAGGCACAGCTGCAGTGCCAGGTCCAGTTCTGGGATCCTCAGGACAAGAGAAACAAAGAGCTACTGGAGAGGGTCCAGAGAGGCCACAAAGATGATGAAGGGACTTGCAGCATCTCTCTGAGGAGACACTGGGAGCTGAGCCTGGTTAGTCTGGAAAGGACTGAAAGGGGATGCCATTAATGCATATAAATATCTAGAGAGTGTGTCAGAGGATGATGCCAGACTCTGTTCAGTAGTGCCCAGTGACAGGATGAGACCATAAACTATGGCCATAAACTAAAACACAAAAAGTTACACCTCAATATGAAGAAGAGCTTCTTTCCATGGCGGGTGGCAGAACCGTGGAGCAGCTGCCCAGGGAGGGCACAGTCTCTTCTCTGGAGACGTCCCAAAACCACCTGTTTCTGTGTCACCTGATCCAGGTRACCCTGCTTTGGCAGAGGGTTGAACTGGATTATCTCCAGCAGTCCTTTCCAACTGTGACAATTCTGTGGTTCTATGGCACACTGTGTCCCCCGGGCCTCACTCCACGTTGTCCCCACAGAATGTCCTGGCTGGAGCGCTCTTYGGGCCGTGGACCGGGCTGGTGCTGTGCTCAGTGCTCACATCTGTGGGAGCCACCTTCTGCTACCTGCTCTCTGCTGYCTTTGGCAAGCAGCTCGTCATCCACTTCTTCCCTGAGAAGGTGGCTCTGCTGCAAGGCAAGGTAAGAATGGGTGGTTCTGCTGACAGCCGGGATGGCCCTGGGCCAGGCTGCTCTTGGGGTGACAGTGAAACTGAGTGTGTGCAGGATATGTATCAGGCCTGCTGAAAGCACAGTCTAACAGCAGGCTGCTGTCTTGGAGCAAGCCTGCTGCCAAAGGGGCTACCAGGAAAATCCCATATCCCAAGGAAAAGCAGACATGAAATAAAGGAGTGTTTGGGAAGGCCCTGTGCTCTAGAACTGCCTCCATCCATCCCATACTATGCTGTACAGCTGGAGGTGGYTCTGCTCTTGACTTCCTGATCTCTCGTGCAGGTGAGATCCCATTTCCACCTCTTCCTTCCACGGAGTGGACTGTCTCACCATTAGGCTCCCAAACATCCATAATACTGTTGCTTTTTATCAGTTCTGAATGATGTTATGCTGTGGTATGCTGGAARAAAACTTATATTCACTGTGGTATAATGGCCATTGTTTCTGCTGTCTGAGGAGTAGGAATAATATGTAACATTTCTCTTGGCAGGTAGAAGAGAACAGGAGCTGCTTATTTTTCTTCTTGTTGTTCCTGAGGCTGTTCCCCATGACACCAAACTGGTTTCTGAACCTCTCGGCTCCCATTTTAAACATCCCCGTGTCCCAGTTCTTCCTCTCCGTCCTTATCGGTAAGGCCTGGGGACACAGCCTGAGGGGACAGTGTGGCACTGCTGCTCTTGGCATCATGGACTCAGGGAGGGCAGAGCTGGGACTCTGACCCTTGATCTGTTTCCTCCGTGCTGCCCTTGAGCATTCCGTAAACAGGTGTCCCCAGTGCTGCAAATTTTGCTTTACACCACTGGGTTCCACCTCAACATGAGGAAGAATTTTCCATGGAAGGTGGCAGAGTCCTGGAAAAGCTGCCCAGGGAGGGCAYAGAGTCTTCCTCTCTGGAGACATTCCACACCTCCCTGGACACGTTCCTGTGTCACCTGCTCTGGGTGACCCTGCCTTGGCAGGAGGTGGGACTGGATGATCTCCAGAGGTCCTTCCAGCCCTAACACTTCTGTGATTCTGTCTGGCCTTGGACATTTGTGAGCTAATTTTCCATAGGGGAGTACTAACAGCTTTTTTTCTGCTCTGATTCCTTCAGGCCTTACACCATATAACTTCATCTGTGTGCAGACTGGGGCCATTCTGTCCCAAATCACCTCTCTGGATGCCATCTTCTCCTGGGACACGCTGCTCAAGCTGCTGGTCATGGCTGTGGCAGCACTGATTCCAGGGACCCTCATCAAGAGATACAGCAAGAACCACCTGAAGCTGGATGGGGACAAGCAAGCTCAGACACTCAATGGCAAAAAGAGCTTGTGATGGCTCAGGTGCCCCAGTTTTGGGGTAAGAAGCTGCAGGACTCTGTTCCCAGGGTTTATATTCTGCATGCTGTGTGCCACCAAGGACAGTGGCAGTTTTTAATCGTCCTTCTCATTTCAGAGGAGGTGTCAGTTCTTATTTTTAATGAATGTTTACCTGTGCATGTACCTGCACGGAGAGATACAGGGGCTTTGTGAGCACTCAGRTAATTTGCCTGTTTCCTTTAAATCAGTCTTCTGTATGCCTGAGGCTGTGGGGAAAAAAAGGAGGAGTATTGGAATCCTGTGAGGAAGGCCAACCAGAACCCAGATGTGGAACACGGGCCAAGCACAGCTCAGGGGGGCAGTAGGCAGGCTCTGCTCCCTCCAGCTCCAGACTGATTTAGCATTTTTGGCCTGAAATGATGAGCCATGTGCTCCTGTGCAGCTGTACATGCACCAAGTTGAGAAAATAATGGTGTTTCAAGGTGCAGCTGTAGAAGATTCTTCTTTGATTCCCATGTTAAACCAGCACACTCTGCAGAAAAATGCTCAGGATTTGAGGTGCCTGAATCAGTCATGTCAAAACACTTGAGACTGCTTCTCTGGTCTGCCAGTGGCTGCCACTCCCCATGAAGACTAAARGGAAAAAGAATGGGAATGGATGTGCCTGACTGGCAGAGATTTGTCCTTGAGAAACACCTTGAAACMCACACATYTGCTCCTGTGTAACTAAGAGGGTTYRAAATAAAAAGAGRTGGGCTCTGTCCCAGTTGCTGGAGAGCATAAAATTATAGAATCCCAGAAAGGTTTGGGTTAAAAGGRATCCTCCAGCCCATCCAGTTCCACCCCTGCCATGGGCAGGGACACCTTCCACTGTCCCAGGCTGCTCCAAGMCCCATCCAGCCTGGCCTTGGACACTTCCARATATCCAGGGGCATCCAGAGCTTCTCTGGGTAACCTGTGCCASGGTCTCTGCACCCTCATCCCCCAGGGATGATACTGTGCTCTTGGGGCTTTGGGATTTGCTCTCCATGAGGAGATCCASTTGGAGGATAAAGTAATCTTCCTGGCATGGGAAGGAAGGGGGGGGGTTGGGGCAGAGGGGACACCCAAGAACAAGGCTTCATGACATCATCCCGAAGTCCATGAGAACCCCTTCCCAGATCACCAGACCAGCCTGCAGCATTGAAGTACACTGGCTTTTTATTCCATGCATTGTTTGCTTTGATAGTCATTCTTGTTTCCATCACTGTACACTGGTCAATACAAAAAAAAAAAAAGTCAAGTTTGTCTCAGGAATCCACAGAGCAGGGAGGAGGGGATGAACACTACTGGACAGGGCCAAGATGAAATGGGTACTTAGCACAACAGTGGGGAGGGSAACATTCAGCTCTGGGAGAAAATCTAGGCTAGTGTTCATGAGCTGTCAGCAGCCACGAGAACTGGATCAGGGTACTYGGGATGCTGGAAAGGGAACCCACAGTTTACTCGGGCCCTGGAATGCTGTTTTACTACAAGGAATAAGCAGGCCCACTTACACCTCTCAGCCCCAGACCTTGCCAGGAGAGGAAGTGTGAGGAACCGCAGTAGAGGTGTCCTACAGCGACGGGGAAGCGTGTCTGTGCAGTCCCAGGGAGGTTTCACTAAGGAAAATCATACCTAACCCCCCCCAAATAGACAGCAACCATCCCGGGAATGGGGGGTGCTGAGCCAGCTCTGCCCACAGAGCAAGGACATGGGCTGTGTGCAGGGGAGCCCGGGGTGACACCTCTGCTGGTGGGACAAGGGGCTGCCCTGGTGGCATTGCCAGCGGGACACTGTGTGGGGCAGCAGGTGGGAGCAGCGATGCTGGACTGTAASAGTGCGATGACCCGGGGCTGGGAGGAGAATACAGCTAGACGTGGTAGCCTGGAGGGGGCAGCTCTGCCTGCCCAGGCTGCAGAACAGGCCAGCATGTCCCTGGGCAAGGATGGGGAGGGTTCAGCACACACCCAGGACAGCDGGCCCAGAAGGGTCCCAAAATCCCACACACCAAGGCTCTGCAAGCCCAGTGGAGCTTCATGCCATGGTGGAGCCTGTGCAGAGAGCACAGGTACCCAAACCCCTCTGGAATCTATTTGTCGGGGCTGGATGGCCACAGGCTGGAGGCCCTGGWGACACTGACAGGCCTGAGCTGGAGGCAGCTCTGTTTTGGGGTTGTTTGTGGGGCTGCYCAAGGATACCAGAGCTGCCCATGGGCCTCCCAGAGCCTGCCACATCTGAGCAGTCTCCCYAGGGRCACCAGGCCTGGCATCCTCTGCTGGGGACACCKGATGGCAGCTCTCCACCTCTCTTTWCACCACCGTGTGTTATGTGCACACAGTTCASTGCTAACTTCCCACACCTCGGCCTCCAGCCTCCTGAGTAACCATCTGCACCACCAAACCCCTCTCACACCACAGCAGCAAAACAGCAAAGCCATCTCTGGCCTCACCAGCTCCTCCTGCCACTGGCCAAGAGACAAAGAACATCAGGGAGGAGAAACGAGGGCTGGGAAGAGAGAGGAAAGGAGCCAGAGAAAAGCTTCACTCCCCATGGGATTCTGCCCCCACCCAGAACGGGGTGAGCGGGTCACTCCCTCTCCAGGAGCCTGTTTGGTCCCGCCCGGGCGATCCAGCACATGGACCCACTGCCCAGGGCAACTGCCCTCCTTCCTRATGTTCTTCTGCATGCTCTGGCCAGGGAATCTTGTAATGGTTACTCAGTTGTGATCAGTTCAAAAGCCACTTGCTCCCTGACCACCATTCCCTCATTCCCACCACTTCAGCCGTTGCCAACCACCAGCAACGTGAGCGAACCGCAGCTCTGCCCACCAGGAATCTGACTGCAGCCATCTATCCCTCTCTTTCTCTGCCCTGGAGTGACAGCATCCCTGGAAAGCACAAGAGGCAGCAACTCCTGACAGCCACGGAGCCCAGCTCTGCTCCTACCCCTCCGGYGAGCAGGGAGAAGGTAACGTCACACACAGAGATTACAATTGTGCTAGCGGTGAAGCCAACCTTCTGATCTACAGAAATGATAATAAATAATAAAATAACATCATAACTTAAGATTTGTCTGTAGTCCAGCTACAAAAATTTAAAAATATGGGATAATTTAACTCATACAATACTGCTCTCTGTATAAGTAAGACATTTTCCTTCAGTTTGCCATGAGGCTATAAATTACCACAGTTAAGTTCAAACCAATATTTTAACATAAAATGTAAACAAACAAAGCAACAGAAGTACCTGTCCATGGTCCATTCCTGCCGTTCACCTCTGGCTGGCTGTGCCAGCCAGCACACTGGGAAGGGCAGAGGGAGAGCTCTTGCAGGGGGACATCAACTAAGGAARGGGGGAGGAACGTGCTTTATCATTTTGTTCTCTTTCAATATTGTTTTAGAAGAGTAGTGTTTAAAGGGAAGGCACTATGAGTTCTATCAGAAAACAAATTTTTCTCATCTGCCAATGCCTCGGCCTGTCATATACCAGTACTATCCTCACTTGCACCTGCAGAGTTTCAGCTTGGAGGAGAAACAGAGGCCTCGGGGCACAGCTGAGACATGGCCATGCCATGGCCACATCAAGATTCCCTGCACAAGGCCTGCCGTGAAGGGCAGGCAGCTGCTAATGCTTCCAAGAATGTACAGCAAATGAGGAGACAGAGCAGGGCTGATGCTCTTAGCCAGGCCAGTGATTCCCAGTCTTCCCCCTCAACACACAGCTCTCTGCTGGTTCTTGGTGCTGCTGTAGGTGAGAGACTGCTTCTCCCAGTCCAGTCCAGGCGTCTCCAGTGTCCTCCCCAGMAATGCTCGGGCTCTGCGGAATGTGCTTTCCACGCTTTGCAAGTCCATGCTTGGCCAACACTGAGTTGATTGATTTGACTGACTGAAACAGACAGGAGGTAAGAGGAGGAAGTAAACTGGGAAATGGCACACTGCATCTGAGAGAGGTTTCCCTGCTCAGCTGGAGGTTGACACTGCCAGAGTGAAGCAAGGACGGTGGTAAGAAGTGCTCTGATACCAATTCTCGAGAGGACGAGGTTAGAATACATTTGCAGGATCTCACAACAAAATGCTGATTAAAAAAAGAAACTAAAAATCCTTAAAATAAAACCCATCATTACATTCCTGGGGATGTATMGACTCAAAGACCCTGGATGTTAGCACCTCGGTACCAGTTTTCTCCAGGAACATGTCCACCTTCTGACTAAAAATGACCCAGCTGGTTATACTGAAAACACTTTGTTCACAGGTGACCCTACAGTCAGGTCTTTTTCTGCTTTTCCTCATTTGATAAGACTGAGTGGTTTAGTTTTCTTGATCTGTTCTCCAATCTTCAGGGCCACGAGGCCTGGTCCCCTGTGCAAGCAGCAAGAGAATCCCCCRTGTCTGTACACAAAGCTGTCCAGGCAGGACTCCCAGGATGTTTCTCCGTAGTGTGCTTGCTTTCTGAACTTTTTTTTTTTTTTTGCAACAAGTCTGTGTGTCTATAAATACAATCCACTCTTTACAGTAAAAAGTGTTAAAATGTCAAAAAAATAAATATCCATGTTACAGTAACTAGATTATTCAATAAAATACATCCCTGCCATTCTTGATTGAAATGCTCAAAGAGAATTAATTTCATTTGGACATTTTCCAGAGATTCGGGTTATTGCAAATCACTCCTGGGATGGGAAGGAGAAGCATCTTCTCTTCCTGTAAAGTGTGATGAAGGGGAATGAAGTGGAATCTCAGGGAAATCAAAATGCCAGTACCAGGAAGCTTTGGGGGAGATCTGTATTACCAAGTAGCAGAGCTGCAGGGCTTATTGGTCCTGACCGTGGCATCAGAACACTCCCCTTCAGAAGAGTCACAGTCTGATTCTCCAAACTGTGGTGGGTTCTGCAAAGCAAAAGGGAAAGGGGAGACTTGAGCACCATTCCTGTACTGCACATCATCCACACATCCCAGTCTGTCAGAGCAGCCAGGCAAAGGTCACCACCCACAGAGGAGAGCGGCACATGCAGGAGAGGGCACAGCATATGACTGCCCCACCAAAGGTCACTTGTCTCCCCTCWGCGAGGGAACAGCAAGAAACTCCTGGTCAGAGCACTCCAAACACAGGTTTTGAGGAGATGGTGCAGGAGGCTCTGCCCTACGCCTCCCAAACACTTGAAAGGCAGTGAAAGGAAGGAAGTCATTTCGGCTTTGTCAGCAAKGCTGCCGATGGATATGGCTGAGGCAGTTTATATCCGCTCCATTTCATTATCTATTTTTATCCCACTTAATGCAACTGCAGATCTGATGGCATCCCAAAATCACACTCATCTTGACCAGCACATTATGTTCAGCTTTGTTTGTGCTACTTTYTCCCACCCACTCTTTGCCAAGCAGGAGGCAGATTGGGTATTGCAGCAGTTGCTTTGCTGTAGTACACCTACACTACCTACCATAGCATCTCCTAGGCAGTGTTCCAACTTTCTGRCCCTTGGATTGCTTTCCATAACGTTTATGTTGGGTTTTTTCCACTGAGTGGAAGGGTGAAGGGATTACAAACTCACCTCACAGCTGTGTTCATCTGCACAAAGTTTGCCCAGGGACATCTGAGTCTTGACCCTCCGCACAGCACACTCCTTGTCCGAAAGCCCGTCTGACTGCGTGGAGATTTCAATGGGGATCTCTGGAGTCTGGGACAACATGTCCTCCAGCTTCTCAGCCAGCTCATCCTCCAGCTTGGTGCCCARCTCATCTGGGCTGTTCGAGTGGTCGCTCGTGTTCCCCTCCTCCCCATCTGACACGGAGAAGTTCTCGGAGCTGAAGGTTGAGTAGGACTGGCAGCTACTGATGCAGCGGTGGGGTCTGCATAGCGGGAGAGAAAGTTCAGTGTTCAGCTGGGATCACACTCACAGTGAGCKTCCTGGGTGCTGTGTTCACTGCTCTGCTACACCAGGCCTTGTGGAGTGCCTTTCACATCCTGGAGCTACAGAATTCTACCCCTTCTGAATGATTTAGCTCGAGACCTGCATCTTTAAATTCATCTGTTCTTATTTGGTCCTGTTTGATATGTCTATATTAGCCACTCTGTCCTGGAGCATATTTTTCTTTGACAGTGCATTTTCTAAAGGAAGGCAAAGCTGTACTGTGGGCTTCAAGCTAACTCACCTGGAAATAGCTGCATTCCCTGGCAGCCATCCCAACAGCCAGGCAGGATTTAGGAATGTCTGTTCAAGAAATAAGCTCACAGTTACCTGCCTGTGGAAATGGCCTTGTGCCAGGATTCAGCAGCGATAGGGCAACACATCAGTTGAGGGGACATGCCAGGAGACCCACACTGGGCATCACATGGAACAGGCAATTTGTGCACCTAATCTTCCAAGTTAGTAAATCACAGAAGAAAACAACATTGCACAGGAACTGTAYGAGTACCATAACTCATCCAGCCCAGAATTCTGCCTCCAACCCCAGGCAGGAAGAAATAATCTGGGAAAAGTGTGAAAACAGGGCATGCAGACAGAGCCTGCTTTCTCCTGGCATCCCCTCCTGGTTTGTACCATTCAGATGTGACTTCTGAACTCAAACCCAGGTGACAATGCTGATAGTCACTGATGGATCCACACTCAGAAATCCAGCACTTATGGCTGTTCAGTTTGATTTCTACAGTGCACCTTGACAATGAGCTCCACATCTGAAAATGTTCCAGGTGGAAAAAGTGCTTCYTTTTGTTCATTTTAAAGCCCTGTTTGCTTCACTGGCTGCCCCTAACATAAATGTGAAGATTCATTCCTTGTCTATTTTCTCCACATAAATTATAATTTCATGCACCTCTGGTGATGCATCTCCTTGTGCTAGAGAAATATTTCACATGGATTTTATCTCTTCTTTTACAGAAACCATCCCTAACCACTCTTGTCACACTTCTCAGTGCCTTCCCAACTTTACTGTGCTTTTTAAGTTGGAACAATGAAGGGAGCATTAGAATTTAAGCTTCAGGTGTGTTGTGCATGGGCACAACAGCAGACAAGCTTTTATTTTCTTCTCTGCTCCTTTGAATCAAACCTTTAACTTACTTGCCTACTGCAAGCACTTCTGCACACCAGGAAGCTGCAGCACCAAATCCAYGGTGTCTTTCCTGAACATAGGACTGTAAATCCTGCTGCTCCACAGGCTTATGTAGGAACGCTCCCCCTAAGACTTATTTTACAGGCAATTTTACACCATCAAAATCGATCTGCTGTTGTCACTTAGCTCTGCAATCTGATCTGAATTCAAGTACAAAGGTGCTGGAGTCTGCCCCACTGCAGCAACAGTTAATAAACAACACTGGGAAGAGTCCACCAAGGGTTCCCACATGCACTGGGTCTGATCCTGGTGAAACAGATGCAGCAGCTGGTTTGTAGAGGCACAGTAATGTTACCAAGTTTGATCAAACAGTGCTGCAAACAGCCTGCAGCAGGAAAGCTGGGYCAGAGAGAACATCTCAGGATGGGCTGGAACAGCAAGTGGACAGGGGGGATCAGCTGAGGGTGGATGGGACACAGTGAACGGGATCCTGTTCTTGTGCCAGCACCTCTCCCAGTTTCAGTGCTGCTATGAGAGCTCTCCTCAGTTTTGTCTCATCAAAGAGAGATTAGAGTGAATTCACCTTTTACCTTTGTCTACGAGGAAATTCCACTTCACTGTCGACTTCGCCCTCCTCCTCTTCTGACGATTCGTCCCCGCTCTGGCAGAAAACAAGGACAAAAGGGTGTCACCTTTGGGGAAGTTCAGACTTGGCTGGCCCTTGGTCCTCCAGGACAAAGTCATTGTGCCAACAGGCTGCAAGAATCTAGAGCAGCAAAAGCCTGTCAGGAGCACTGACTCAGACACTGTCTCACGAGGAGGTTGKTTCAGGCAGCCTGAATGCTGCCATCCCCAAATCTGGAGGGACTGACTGGGAAATACACTGGAGTATTTCAGCAGGCATGGAGAACAGAATGTTCCAGATTCTCACTGAAGCAAATCATTWGTATGACATGGAAACCCATATAAATTATTGAGCTCATTTGGCACTCCTGGCTTTACCTTCTTCTGCAGCAGCCCATCCCAGTGGGATGGGGATGACACAGCCTTTGCCAGTGGGTTTCACCAAGTAGAAGAACTTGAGATTTGTTTCATTCCTCACCTCAGTGAGCACAGAGCCTTTCATTCTCCTTCTCCCATCCAAATCYACACCCACACCCTTGTTTTTCAGAGCCTCCCTCTATCCTATCCAACCTGTCAGCCCCTCATTCCGATTCAGCCTCTATCTCATCCCATCCCCTTGTTTTACAAGGTCCTGCTTCCTTCATGCTGGGCCCAAACTACACTCTTGGTCTGGTAATTATGCTATTTTCCTTGACTTTTCCAACCAGGCCCAGGTTTCCTGCTCTTTGAACTCAGACTGGTTCTTATTTCTCTCACCACCTGGACAGAAGCAGGAGGAACAAAGAGCTCTTTCTGTACAAGTGTGCCATAACCTCTTTTTCACTCTTGCAAAATCTTCACAAAATACAGAACTATGACTTTCAGTGCAGGGGGACAATTTCTGGCAGGTGAAACAAAAGAGATGTCCCCAGGACCATGGAAAATGTTGAATTTTTGCTCTGAAACACAGCAACACCACAGATTCTCARAGAAACTCTTAAGTGGTATCACAGAACAATTTAAAGAATACATTTATCCTTTCCTTTGGAGAAAGGCTCGAAAGCATTTAAGACCGTTTCAACACCAAAAATTCAGCAGAACAAGTTTCAGCTCAAACCAAAATTGGAGAGAAATCACACATAAGTGAGCCAGGCCTCACTAAAGCTATGTCTCCAAACCGCAGTCCTTACCTTTTGGAGGGATCTGGCTTTGCAAGGCAGCCCTGAGGAAGCCAAGTGCTGAGGAGTGCCCAGGGCGGAGGCTGCCGTGCCCTGCTCCTCCAGCTTCTCCATGAACTGCGTGCTCTCGTAGAGCGACGCCGGGGACTGCGGGCGGCTCCCAGCGGGCTCCACGGACGCCACGCGTCCCCGGCCACTGTCCTGGTCCCTGCACTGCAGGCAGGG